GAAAGCAGGTCAGCAGCAACTCTGAGATGAAGGACAGCACCTCACACCAGCCTCCCAAGCGCTAACTGCAGTTAACATCTTGCGAGCCACATAGTTCACACTGGGCTGCCAAATGTTTCTCCGAGGCTGAACTTTTGTATTCCAAATTGTTCCTGAAAATGCGTTATTTTAACTTTTCAATGAGATGATTCCTTTCTTCCTTCTTTTTTTAAATTCTTATGGGTGGTTTTATTAAAGATAGGAGCACCAAACAAGAGGTGTCAGGACACAGAACCTGAGCTTCACTGTCTTCACATTTTGGCCTTGGATTTGGGATTGGGATTAATCTATTTCTGTGTCACCGGTGCCTTTGCCTACAAGTTTGTCAGTCGCCTTGAAAAGCAAGGAGTCTCCGACTTATGTCAGATTTCCTTTGTACCTCATCTTTTTTTTTTTTTTAAATATATCTTTATTGATTTCAGAGAGAGGAAAGGAGAGGGAGAGACAGAAATAGAAACATCAATGATGAGAGTCATTGATCGAGCCCGCAACCCGGGCCTGTGCCCTGACCGGGAATTGAACCCCGATCGCCTGGATCCTAGGTCGACGCTCAACTGCTAAGCCATGCCTGGCTGGGCTGTACCTCATCTTATTCATGGTAAGTGCATACAGAATCTCTTTATGGATCCCTTGTCTTTAAAAACCAAATAAGTCCTATCTTTCAGAATTATAGCCAGAATTTAAAAAGATGGTGGACCTACAATTAGGAAATATGATAAGTGAGTGCTTCTAAGCACTATAATCAGTTTTCTGAACTCCTGACCCTCAATGTCTGGAAATGACATCAGGCTTTTTGTCTTTTTAAAAAAATTGTCTGCTACTTCCCACATGTAGAAGGAAAGTAAAGAAATATAAGCCTGTATTGCTAGATTGTCGAGAAGCTGTGTCACAGAGGGCGCAGTGTGTGGACTTTGGAGTCACGTTGCCTGAGCATTGCTCCTGCTCCACCGAGACTAGCTCTTGACCTTGGGCGATTAACTTAATTCCTCGATGTCTCAGTTTCTACATTTATAAAATGGGGAAAAGAACAGTACTCTCTACCTGATAAGGTTGTGCAGCTGGATAAGTGATCCCACAAATCGCTTCCCATATTCAATATAGGGTGCGCTAGATGGGCTTTAGCCTTATTAGGTGTACATCCTTTCCATTTTACTCATGGCTCATGAATTTGGTCGTAGCCGAAGTCTCCAAACCCTTTTCTCTCACAAACTTGACCGTTAATCTTTTTGTTAGGATTCTTTTATTACCCTATTTTTACTTTTTGACAGAGAATTTGAATAATTCATAGTTGAGATTTCTTTGGCCTGATGAAGCAAAACTCTTTAAATATAGAGGTTTGGTGGGTCCTTGTATATTTACTGTTCATCAGAAAAAAAATTATGAAGCAGAAATCGAGATGATAAGCTAGAGGTAATTATGCATACCCTGACTCAGAACAGTATCATGTGAGTATTCTGGTTATTTGTATTTGAAACTAGTGTCTCCCCCCCCCCCCC